TACTAGCTAGGGCCAATCTATGGGCAAAAAATGAGCAAAATCGATTTTTCGACTTGTGCCGTTGTTTGGTCCATAGTTATGGGCACTGGCTCTTAAGTGTTTTTACAAATTAATTTTTTAAGTTTTTGAAACTTAGGGTAATTTTTCAGCGTTAGGTTTTAGTACTAGCTATTAGTTTGCGTTATTGCTAGTATTAACCCAAGTAGCTTTGTTTTTAGCAATAAAAAGTATAAAAAAAGAGAATCTAATTTTCGTTTGTAAGAAGTAAGTCATGCGACGCCCAGCTTCAAAGGCCGTATGTTCTCCATATGATCATAAAATAGACAAATTAATTAATTAAAAACAATAATAATATAAAAAAATAAAAAATTTAAAAAAAAAAACATTTTTAACTCAACTCATTGGTGCATGTCTTATATTTTCGTTCAGGCTGGTGTGTTTATGGGGTTCTCGATCACCTCAGCCGTGTTTGGTGGAACAATCATCATTTGTTACAGCATAGCCATTGCTTTTTACCGAGACGACTATCGGTATAACTACTATGACCCATACTACAATGACTACGATTATTGGCCTACAGAGGGCTACTACTATAGTAGAAGGGAACGCCACGACAAATTTGACGCAGAAATGGCTCTGAGTGCCATCATTTTGATCCTTGGCATTGTAGAGTTTGCCATTGGTATCTGGGCTGCCGTGTGCCTCTGTATGATGAAACCTTGCACATGTTGCTATGGCAGTCCACCACAACAGGTGAGTTATCCAAGAGTGATCTATTGATAATTTCAATTATACAACTTTAGAAGATCTGTTGTCTTGCAAACAAAGAATTGAATTGAATTGAATTGTCTTCATGCAACGGAAAATCACCCGAACCAAGCAAACAAAGCATCAATCAAATATTTCAATCTTGATAACTGCGCTGAGGCTTTAGAAAGAGCGGTATAATGGGTTGCGAAAGCAAAAGGTTGCGATGTCAAATTGAAAAAGTCTGCGAAACTTTTTTATCATCTTTGTTATTTTTTCGTGTTTTGGAAAAATTCGCTCAAATGTTATCATAATTTACGCTTTCTTCAAAAATTCACTTGATAGCTTTATCTTCATGTACTAAGAGCATTTCAGCGACATCATGGGACGGCTTTGACCGCAAATACCGCAAAATCGCCATCATAATGTCCCTTTAACCCTCGGACGTACAAGCAAACTCATGCACCCACTGTGATCCAAGGAGGACGGGGAGGGGGTTGGAGCCCTTTTCCTAGGATTTTGTTACGATAGGGTATACCTAAATTGTTTAGCTTGAAATAGATATCCCTCGGTCTATTCTACAAGATGACATTTACTTCTTGGTCATGACGTCAACTGAAGTCACATGACATCATTAAGTCCGCCATCTATGATCACATATCCACCGTCGTGGATATCAGGTTGTCAGTAAATAAAGTGAACCGATGAAAAATTAACCAAAGGTGACACTAGAAAGTAATAAGTAATCCTGCGATGTTGAAATCTAATATGAGATTTGCAAGATTAATAAGCACGTCTATTTTTTTATAGCAATTTCCAGGGACCAAGACAGACAAATGACAAGTTTGACACGTCAAAATCTCGGCGAGGGATGAGAGCACAGTTAATGAATGTGTCAGTATGACATAGTGAAACCTCGTTTCAGGATTCTGATAAAAATCTTATAGGGAGGCGTCCCCCGAGGGTTAGGTAATCGCCCAAAATGTTCGGGATGATGACCTGCATTGCGTCCCATTCAATGAGAGTAAAATCACTCTTTAGTTCTATCATGATACAAAAAAGTAAGTGCGACACATCAATGAAACGAAAATTGTCAAACAAAGAGTTTCACGAAAAAACTGGAGACGCTCCAACAAGCGTTCTTTGCGTTTTCGCCACTTTTCACCTTATTGATTATTGGAACCTAGAAGAGCCAAGAGAACCTTACTTACAGTGAAGTTATCAGGATGTTACCAAGGAACATGATTCTCTTATTGTCTTATCGATATCAAGACTTTTTTTTCTCAGGGTCAGGTGATGTATGCTCCCAATAGTGGTTATGCCATGACCCAATATCCTGGTGGTGTTCCTGTGGCCGTTCCGATGCATGCAGGTGGTGGCATGGTTCCAGTCCAAACTGTCACACCAGGGCCTCAGGGAGGCCAACCTCAAATGGTCGTGGTACCCGTTTCCGGAATGGTAGGTAACCAACCTCAGTTTGCTCACATTGCTACATCCGGAGCCATGACCACAGCTTCCCAACCTCAGGTGCCACCCACATATGGACACGGAGGTTATACTAAGATGGAAAACGACGAGGTATGAGTAATATCCCAAACTTTTGTCATCTGATACCCAAGGCAAGATTTAACTGCAGAAAAACGCCATGTCAGTCGTAACGGGCATTGTGACAGTCAGAAAAATAAAGCGGAGTGAAAACCTCTCTTTACAAAACGTCCTATCCCCGTTTGAAGATGCCACTCAATTCTCTGGTAGTTCACTTCGCAGCTGATTATCAGCAACGTAATTAGACTCGAGTAGTCCCTGTTTCACTTAGATAGCGAGAAAAAAAAAAAAACAGAATTCGCGCATTTATTTGTTGTCTTTTTTTTTCACACGCTACGATCGACAAAGTTAGCGAAATAGGGACTACTTGTAGTCTACAACGTAGATTTTCAGAAAAGCAGTTCGTCTTGTTTATTCATTGCCCGCCAAACCTCTCGCGGCCGCCTCGCGGTCTAAAACATCGACGCTCGCTTCACTCTCTTAGCTATTCTATCCTGAAGCTCATGAGGTCGACTTGTGGCAATTTTATTCACAACGTAACATCATTTTAAATCGATTAGTTGATTCGAATTAGTTCTAGAATTTTTGGTTTTTTATTTCGAATTTACCAATGCATTCTGTACATATTCACTCAAACTCAACCTGTGTTTTTTTCTCTCTCTCCTTTTTTTTAGTTTCCAGTGAATACCTGAGATGTGCGACAATAATTAGGTGGTAGCCTGGTATAAACCATAAACACCAGTTGTACGTCTCTCACGGAAGACAAAAAACTGTTTGCAAACATAGCTTTAGTTCTCAATGTGCTAGCATTTTACTTATATACCCTTCAGCACCATTAGCGATGTAAGATAAAGTATTACAAGGTTTTTTTTTTCCTCTGGAGTTTTAAACCTTCAGATAAATTGCCCATAGCACCTTAACGAATAAACTTAGAGTAGCAAAAATAATTAAAAACTGGATCATTAGATAATGTAATTCAAGAGTTTTCATTGGCTTAGCTATTGTGGTATATTAAGCCATTATACCATGCTCTTCAAATATAGGAATAAGTTTTGGAAACGTTTTTTTTTTTTTTTATTTTTAATTTCAGTTTGTTTTAGTTTTCTATATTTTGGAGGCGTTTTTCAGTAAGACATTATTCCACTTGCGCTTGCTGGATATGAGATGATTATAGCCAACGAGGCGCTACGCACCTCGTTGGCTATCTACCATCTCCTATCTATCGCGCGCTTGTGGAATAGTGGTTAATTATTCAGCCTGTCTTATCCTGTTACGTCAGAGTGCAGTTATAATGGCAGTTATAAGCACATCCTTTTGTTGTAGTTTTTGAAAACTCCTTGTTAAACTTGATTCAACCCAGTATAGATCTAAGATAAAACATATTACAAGCAGACTGTTTTTTTTTTCTTTTCAGGTAAAGTTTTATAGCTTGAGATTAATTGTCTTAGCAACTTAATAAACAAGCTTAAACTAGCAGACATTGTTTACATTATTCCAAGCCTGAACAGAACGAGAATCAGTCGACTACCAATTCCGCTCAATTGAAATCAAAGAATCACGCGAACATGTTCAGTTTTGATAAAGCGGTTTCAATTAACGTCACGGCAGATATATTCGTGTTCTTAGCAGTTTTCTCGTTTGTGAAATGAGTTCTTGAGAACATTTTGTATTGTTTGAGAACACCAATTTGGTCAGCATGAAAACGCTCTATAACATTCGACGAAATTTTAAAAGGTGTACTGAACCTTAAAACCTGGACAGAGGGACTCGCAAGTAGCCGCAAGTTGAACTTGCGTAGAGACTTCAGTGCATTGGATGGCCAATCGCACTCCCAAGTTTCCTCGCAAGTACATGCAGAAAGCAAACAAACCATTTGAAGGTACATTTCCTGCATTTTAATGCATAACAGGTTGCTATAAGAACGAATGGACGTCACTCAACTTGGGTTGACTTGGGTTGGTGGCTAAGCAGTAAAAATCTTTAGTCGACTTGCGTGCAAATTTGATCTCGACCAAAGTGAGCGCAGGTCATCTCAAGTCCACGCAGGCCTGATCAAACGAAGTCACAAGTAGACCAAAGTTAGCAACCTACGTCTATTACCGAGCCTGTTTTAGCCAGGACTTTAAGGCGAGTTTGAGCCTTACCAACCCCTGTTTTGATTTGTGTCAAAATTTAAAACATACGCGAATCTGATGGGCTCTTCCATCGTTTACTATTAGCAATAAGTCTATGAGTACACGTGACAAGCGCGAATAGAAGATTGCAATAAAACTACTGATAGCTATTTTACCAGCCATTTCTTAAAGCTTTTTTTCTTTGGTATGAAATAAGCCGACGAGGGAGGGGAAGGGCGGTGGGGGGATGGGGGGAGGAAGGTTTCTCAAAACAGCTCTATTTAAAGGTGACGTTACACTTCACGAAGTTCCATTACAATTTTCTCGATACAGTGCTCGATTGTGCGCCGACCCGATCCAAAACTCGAAAGATGACTCAGACAGTTTCGATATGATCAGAAAGTTTTGCCGTGAAATATTTAACCCAGAAAGAGAGACCAGTAGAATGATACGAGCTTGCTACAATAGAATCTCGATCTTACGAAACTCTACATAACGAGGTCCATCGTATAACGAACGAGATTCCTCAGCCCGGTCAAAGCTACAGCAAAATGCATGGAACAGAGCCTCGATTTAATGAAATTCTCGTTATCACAAACACAATCCAGAAGACCAAATGTCTACTATACCACGGTATAACGAAGAAATGTGAACACGTGACAAAAAAGACAGATAATTTTTCTTTGTCCCACGCTCGTGTCATGTTGATTAATTCACCTTCACATTTCATTACCGAGCTTCAAATTCACCATATTTATTAATTTATCAATAATAATAATAATAATAATAATAACGAATATTTTAACAGGATGGTTCATCAGTGTATTAAACATTGTTATTAAAAAGGTCCTGCAAAAGAAACGATAGTGAAAATATGGTAAAAAAGGTAAATAAAGGTAACAGAAAGGCGTACAAAGGCGTGCCATATAACAAACTGGGGAATATTAGCCAGATCGTTTTTGAGCTCCGTCTACCTTGCTTGATTAGTAAGAGGTTAATCCTGCTCTGCCACATTCGAAGAAAACTTCGGTCGCACTAGAGCAGCAAAGGAGGAAATATTTGTAACTTCTCTCGTATTGATTTGTTAAAATGTAGAAAACAAGGTAAGCAAGGGAAGAAATAAGAAAAAGAGGAAAGTACCGACCATTATAAGAGAGTAAACGACCGGTGAGGCTAACGCAGCCGCAAGCGCGCACTTGATGCATGATGTGACGCGACATTGCGACATGAATTACATCGGAAGTGAGAATTTGCAGACACAATGGGCTCGAACGACCTCAACTGGGAATTATCGCGTTATATTTGCCTCGTTAATGTATTCCAGGTGACTCATTTCCACCAACCATATACATGACGAAAAATATATTTAGTGTTGGATTAATGTATAAGATAATAGCAGCAATAGTATGATTGGCTAATTCTAATTTTGGATAATATCATCACATCATCACATCATTGTTATCATTGTCATCATCTTTTTTATTACCACACCATAAATGATAATAAAATATATAATACAAATAACAAAATGGCGGCGCGGAGAGCTCCAGAAATTCACAAGAGTTATTGCTGGAGACCATTTCGGTTGTTAATATATCTTACATTTTAAGTTCTGTCTGGGCTGGGTCTTTATTAAATTGTGCGAACCGTAAACAAATACCAATTCTCGCATTAACATTTCCTTGGTAGGTAGGCAGGCAGTTAAATAAGTAGGTTTCCAAGTAGGTAAGCAGGGGGTAGCAGGGTAGGTAGGTTTTAACATGCAAGCACTGATAGGTAGGTAGGTAATTAGGCGGGTTGGCTGATGGGCCGGCTAGGCAGATAAGCAAGATAACAGGCTGATGAAAACCTACTTATCAACCTACCAACAAACGTTCACGGAATGAAACAACCATTTCTTATCGCTTTAACAGCTTTAATTGCTAAGAAAACCATTTGCTTTGACGTCATTCAAGAAAAAACTTAACTATCAATCATTTTAACGCGCTTTATTTATGTCTAAGTAAGTTTCGCTTTAAAACGATGTCCCAGATCTATGTCAAACAATGTATTGGTTGAATCGCAGGAGTTAGCGAAGTAAAAATATATAAAATTGTTAGACTCGAACTATTAAGAATAAAGAGTAGCGAGATAAAAGCATGACGTTTCGGCGACAACATGTCACCATTATCAAATGCAAATTATTATGTGTTGGGTAACGTTACATAAAGAATATAGAGTGGGAAAATACCTAAAGGACAAACACAACCAAACATCTAACAATCTTCACGAGCAGTTTACCACCTTAAAGAAATGCCGCGGAAAGTTTGAGTGCCTTATTTATGAGATGCTTCTTATGAGGACACAGAGTCCGACTCTGAACACTCAAAATGACTCCATTCCAGCGAAATTTTGATTTAAATTTTCTCATTCTTTTGTTTTATCCCCCCCCCCTCATTTATTTTAGTGTATTTTCCCTCTCGATATTCTTTATATAACGCCCCAATATATAATAATTTGCATTTGATAATGGTGACATGTCGTCGCCGAAACGTCATGTTTTTATCTCGCTACTCTTTATTCTGAAATGTTTTTGGTAGGTTGGAAAACCAGGAATTCGGAATTCGGAATTCGGAATTCGGAATTTTATTAAAAAAAATAAAAAAATAAATTAAAAAAATAAATAAATAAAA